TTTTTTAAAAAAAAAGATTATATTAAATAATTAAAATGGTGCTGAGTAAACATAGTTAGAATAAGAAATAAAAATATATTGTTTAATTAGATAAATCAAAATTTGCTTTGTTTAGGTTGATGGATATGCAAAAGTTTAATGAAGAGTATGTAAAGCATATAATATAAACTGTATTAAACCTATTTTACAGTAGATCTTTAATGTTTGGGAATGCTTTAGTTAGAATGGTGTTGGACTATTAGTAGTAGTTGATAGTAATATGAATTCAAATATATATATTAATATTTTTGCAAATCATTTAATACTATAAATATGTAATAATTTAAATTTAATATTTTAATAAGATTTAACTATATGTTAACAGCAAAATATACAAAATAGTAAATAAATACATATAATATTTTAGTTCTGGATTAGGTTCTATATAGTCTGAATTTGAACCCAATTGAACATCTCTGTAATTATGTTAATTATCAAGTTCAAAAAAGAAAACCCTTGCTCAGCTCAAAAAATGAATTAATTAAGACTGTGCAAAAAGAATGGGTAGAAATACCTTTAGAGATCTTATGTAATCTAATTTTAAGTAATCAAAACCATTCTTAGAGTTAAAGGCTGACATATTAAATATTAGTTTTTTTACTTTTAATAAAAAATAAAAACCTTATTTTATATTGTATTAGATTAAAATTTTGTATTTCTTTTTATGAAAATAAAAATTGAAGTTAAAAAATCATTAATCATCATTATCACATAATCAAAATCCAGTAATTTATTGTAGAGGTATTATAAAAAAGATGGTTTGTGGCAAAATGTTTGTAAATTAAAATGATAAACTCACTTAACTTTTTTAGCCAGTAAAACCATTCTATTCACATATTAAACTTTACCAAATTACATTTATTATTTAAATATTTATTATAATAACAAACACACTTTGCCTATCTAAAATATCTTCTGTTAAGTAAAATTTATTTACCAACACTTTTTGACTTATTGATTAAAATGTTTGAGAATACCCTCAATTTAGAATCACTTATATGAAAATATAGGGTGTCATCTATTAAAATAACACATTTTTACAATTTTTTAAAAAATAAGTTTTTATTAAATTCATATAAATTTTGACATGGTTAACCTTTTTCAATTATAAATGAAAACTGATTCGCATAATAAAAAATCAAGAAAATTTAAAGAAAAAATTACATGAGGCTTTGTAAAGCCAACACATTACGAAATTACCCAATAGTCACCTGCTACCTTTAACCAATCAAAATCATGAAATTTGATAATCCCAGATCAGTCTGAAAATCAAAACAAATACCGTATATTACCGAATAGAAGCTATCCCTGAATAAAAGCTACCTTCTTGATTTTGGATTAAAAATTTGAAGGAAGTTATTATGTTTTAATAATAAAATTGGATCTGAATAGAAGCTACTCCCTCTTTTTAGTCCGAAAAAACTCTCAAAATTTTGGTAGCTCCTATTCGGTAATATATGGTATTTAAACTCAATTATCTCAAAATTGTTCAAATGTAAAAATGGGCTGTTTTAATAGATGAACCCCATATAATTAAATGAATTACATTTGATATACTAAGGGCATTCTCAAGTCTCTCAACCAATGAACTAAAATGTGTTGGGAATTAAGTTTTAATTAGCGGAAGGTATTAACCGATCAAACCTACTTGTTATTAAGATGAATAAGGCACAGGACACGTTGTTTATTTAAATCAAAGAAAAATTTAAATAGTGAAAAATGATCAGCGAGTTTATCATTTAAGTCAAAAAACTTATTGTTCCGAATCACCTATTTTTTTTGCATGACTTATTAAACTTTATACCTATTAAAGTAAATAGAGTTACTGTTCAAGCACTTTCATATTTATTATTATGATCTTCGCTATCTACACACTAACGTATTGCTGTTATTATGTTTTGTTTTTAAGATCTACTCAAGTGGTGATTGAGTATTTATTTTGATCATCGAGCATTACTATAATTATTGGCAAATCAACACTTGAGCATAGCTCAATAATATTGTCATTTGCATTATTATGTTTATCTAAAATGTTTAAAAACGAGTAAGGGAGAATTTGGTTTTGTGTTTTTCGCAGTCTAATTTGATGGTATATAAAAAGTCAATGTCAAGCGAGGATTCAATAAATTTTCATAACAAATATTGTCACATAAATTTATCTAACATCGTTGCACTAATGATTCTAATTTTTCTATTGCCAACTTGATACTAAGTTGATAGTTACTAAATTTTAAAAGTCAATGCACTATTTTACAAAGAATTTTGCTGCTACCTTTACTTTTCAAAATTATCTTAGTTATTTCAAAAATTTCAAAAATTAAATCAATATTTTCGTAAAAAGTTTTATTATTGCCATATTTGAAGTTAATATTACAATTACAATTGGAATCGTAATTAACTGACTGAAAGTGGCCTCTGAAAGTAGATCTTTTTGCACATATTAGCTGCTAATTTTAGGCAGGTGTAACTCAGATGCTTAAATTTGCAACTTTAGAAAGCGCTAACTTCAGTCGCAACATTATCATTTTTAATTGCTTAAGACTAAATTATTGGAATGATATGACAATCCATATTTTATACTATTCTATGATCCACATCTCATGAGACTACCAGACTTTACAAATTTACATGAACGTGTTAATTCAGTGTATACTTAATAGACTGGGCAGTAAATAATGATTTGGCTTTTTTTAAAAAAGTTAATAATAATTTTGCTTAGAGAAAAGTATTAACATTTGTAAAGCATCCTTCTGACCTCCTTGCACGTTATTTTAGAAAAAAATACTTTTATATATCTAACTCCCCGAATATATCTTGAACTGCATCATAACTCCCTTACTTTGATTGATCACTATAATTGCACATTCTCATCTTTTAAATTCATCATTGTTCACATTCCCGATCAAAATTAGCGCCCATTGTCTGAGCTTTCCCGTATGGGCAGTAACACATTAATCTATAATATTAAATAGTTTAAATCGTACTAGATATAATCACATACTAAGTCAATCGATGACTGGTTCATATATATTATTATTGGATAATTAGATGTAATATTATAAAATAAAAGTGTCTACATATTTTGGTTGAGCTACTAAATAAATTTTTGTTCATCAGCCTCGGCCAGCAAAATATCCAAACATTATTATTAATGATGGGCGATTACTTATTGATGAGATTACTATTAATTGCTCTTATATTTGCGTCAGTGATGAAAGATTGATTTAAAATTTCTTAAAATTTCTTTTACGTACGTACGCATGATTATCAAGTGATTACGTAATTGGAATTAGAATTACATAAATTTGTCGCTATGTATATCGAGTTTTAAATTTTAAGTTATTATTATTTATTCGAAAAAAATAAAAAAAATAAATTAAGTAATAATATCTAGTCAATTTATCCCATCACTGATCATAATTCATGCTTTAGAGAGACAATGCATTTGGTTGCATTTAAGGAAGTATGATGTAATTAAAGTTATAGAGAAGTTTCCTGAGAAATGGTCATTTATTATGAAATGAATTAAATTATCTTTATTCCGCGATCGTTAGAATTATGAATGGCATATTCATCAGATATAAAATGTTATAATGATGCTTATAGCCCCTGCTTAAACCATTAATAGATTCCAAAGACTAATTCTGTCATGTAAGGACGTTCCCAAACGCCTTTGTCAATGGGTTAAAAAGTGTCGGTGAATAAATTTTACTTGACGGAAAATATTTAGACAGCCAAGTGTGTTGTCATTGTGATGAATAAACGTAATTCGCTAAAGTTTATTACGTGTATAGAATATTTTTACTAGTAAAAAAAATTAATTTGATAAAGTTTATTACGTGAATAGAATCTAACATTTTTACCAGTAAAAAAAAACGTAATTTGATAAAGTTTATTACGTGAATAGTATCTTTTTACTAGTAAAAAAACGTAATTGGATTAAGTTTATTGCGTGAATAGAATATTTTACTGGTAAAAAAGCGTAATTTGATAAAGTTTATTACGTGAATAGTATCTTTTTACTAGTAAAAAAACGTAATTGGATAAAGTTTATTGCGTGAATAGAATATTTTTACTGGTAAAAAAGCGTAATTTGATAAAGTTTATTACGTGAATAAAATATTTTTGCTAGTAAAAAAACGTAATTGGATAAAGTTTATTACGTGAATAGAATATTTTTACTAGTAAAAAAACGTTAAGTGAGTTTGTCATTTCAATTTACAAACATTTTCCACAAATCATCTTTTTTATATACTTGACTTGTCAAAATTTACAATTAATTGAGTATTCAAAAAAATTATTCAAGTAACTTTATCATCATCGACGAATTATTATTTTTTTACAAATACGGATGTTTACCATTTTTTGCTAGCTGCAAATTTTACTATGAAAACCTAAACATAGTGGCGATGACATCTAATAATGAATCTCTCAAGTATCAATTGAAATTTTATTTTTATTGAATAACGTTCGAGAAAAGTTTGATTACATCATAAGTAACAATTATAATTCTTATTTTGATTGATTATAGTAAATGATGCATCGTCACGTTTATTAGCTAATCACATAGAGAAGAAACTTTGATTAATTTGCATATAGATTCGTTATCAAAAATTTTACGTAAATATAATTATAGTTGTGCACGATTACGATCATGGGCTAGTTACATCGAGGTTGAGGCTTAATGATCATCAAAAGGGATAATTTAAATATTTCGTAGTTTGCTCTCATGGGAATTAGAATACATGACCGAATGTGACGATTATAAGAAGCATCATTATATGATTTAAATGTATATAAGGAACTCTTGTTTTTTTGATAGACGAAAAATACTCATCCAATACTTAGTATTAAAAAAAAAATTCGACATTTTATTCTCTGATTATAACGGTAAACAAACACTAATTCCTTTCATTATTATCAAATTAAATCGTATATACTGCTAACAATTAGTATTATCTCTATTTTAAATTATTATAGATTAATTTCAATATGGCCTTTAAATATCTCGTATTTTTTGTTTGTCTTTTAATCTCTATTCCCGCCGCTTTTTCTGTCTGTACTCCTTCTCCAGGATGTAAATGTAGTGGCGCTTTCCAAGGTCAATTTTGTGGTGGACAGTTTGGTAAGTGTATATGATTTTGAAAAAATACCAATAAAAATACGGGGATAATGTTATGGGGGCAAATCATACTGTGCAACAAAATCAAAATATTTTTACGCACCGGGCTTATTAACGTTAAAAATCTGCTAGAATCAAAAAAGATAACATAATTTTATGTTATCGCAATTTTTTTGAAATATTTCAGATTTTCTTAATTAAGCAAACGTTTATGTTTGAATTTGAGATCTGGATGGTCCCGTAATAATTAAATTATATCACTGACGATGGCAGATTAAATATTATTTTTAACCTTTCTGGTTTCTTTTCTAGGATGTACCCCCGACCATGTATATGAATGCCAACGTGGAACAGGCGATACTTGTGACTATGGCCATCGTACCTCATGCGCTCAGTGTGGGAAGTTGTCTTGCCCTTAATGTATTAAAAAAAGAAATTGGTTCAACTTTTTTTTAACTGTTCAGCTGTTTTATATTCAAAGTAATTTTCATCTATTTTATTTGTAAACTAAATAAAAGAAATTTCCAGTTAACAATCTTTGATGAACCAAAAGCAATGTATTAGTTCATTATACAGTAGGAGAAATCAACGTTCTCATATATGAGCAACCCGTTATTCCCTTACTTACTAAAGTGCTATTAAGTAACTGCTTAAATTTTTTCAATAACAATTATATATTAAATTTATTGAGTAAGACGTGAATAAATTTAGCAAAAGTATCGAATTTCTTGAGTAATACTGAGGAAGCGCTCATATTCTAAGAATGCCTCTTTACATCACCAACAGGATTTTAAGCCCCTCATTCAATGGCAGAGTTGGTAATGGCTCCATTTAGAGCTCATTGGCTTCATTCGCAGCTCTGTTGGGCTCCATTGAGGTCCATTTCTAACCCTGCTCAATGGACAAAAAGCAAAATTTAGGACATCTCCCTAGATGTGGTTCTGTAATGATTGAAATAGTGCCAAATAATGTTGGAATTTTAGCTATGATAATGGTAGTATTATTGAATTTTGCCCACGTATCACTCCTGTTGTGATTTGTGAATAATTGTAATGATGCACATATTCTATGAGGTTTATTAATGTTATAACTATATAAGGTCGCACTAAAACCAGGAACGTAGGTTCAACGATCTTTATAATTATACAAGATTCAATGCAACCTATTTTTTGTCAAAGTGTCATCCTAGCCATGGCGAAAACGAGGTGTCGGGTCATATCATCTATCAGGATCTGGTGTAACGTGAAATTTTACGAAAACAAAGTTTTTTTTTCAAAAATTGCAGATAACTCAAAATTTTGCTTATGAAACCATCTTCTGCGTTCTAATTAAAAAAATTCCTTGCAAATTTTACTATAAAGTAGACCTTTCCTAACCCTAAATATATGTTTGTTTCTTTTATTTATGCGTTATCTTCGATTGTTTTGATTTTTGATATCAGATCGAATGCTTCGAAGTCACATGACCCGACACCTCGTTTTCGCCATGTCTAGGGTTTCCCGTACGATAACTATAATAAATTAAAAAGAATATGGTGCATAAGATTTAAGTTGATAAATTCCGAGACACTTTAAAAATTAATGGTGACTCGCCAACATCAGTAACTTATTGATTCGATCATGTAGAAATTTTTCAGCTGTTTTAGGATTTATAAAAACAGCTATAAATTATTAAAGACCATTTTAGAAACCAAGACAAACTGAAAATCATTAGTGGATCGGTCTTATTAGTGACTAGTACATTGAACTGGACTGATATATAACTAATGCCATGTCTTAATTAGGGAAATTATCCTACTTGCCCGAAATCAGTTCGACCCTGTTTGGAACCAAACCCAATGGACCTCGAATTTTTACATGATTTTTATTATCATTTCATTCTCCAAATCCAAATGTGTTTGAAATAGATCAGATGAGCAACACTTGATTTGTAATGAATTTTAGAATTTTAATTACTGTCGTTATGACGAACAAAAATTACTATCATAATGACGAACAAAAATTAGTTTTTTTGACCTTTTTTTAATTAAAAGTTAATTTAATGTGGCATGATATGAAGACATTTGGTCTTTTTTTTTATATAAATATGCGACTTTCTCTTTATATATATATATTACTTAATTTCACTATTCTATGAGCGAAGACAATATGTTTGAAGAACTTATTGATTTAACTGAATCTACTTCTTCAAGTTCGATTTCTCAAAATGCACTTGAATCTGGAACACTTATGGAAATAACGAACCATCATCCAAAGCGATTAAAAAGGGACCCTTTCACTAAAATCGGTGATAAACAACATTGCAAACTTTGCAATAAACCTTATTAAGTTTATTATTACTGTAATGAAGGTTAATAAATTGGATAAATTAATATCAGCGATAGATGCAATAAATGCAATAACATTATAATGCAAAAATTTATATATTTTTAATGTAAATTTCATGTATTTATTTTAATAAAAAGTAATAGCGATAGCATGTTTTATACGGAATTAAATACAATGTCAGGTATATTTAAATCTCGCTTGCATGCAAAATCAAGACTTTAAAGGCGATTTTAATACAAATATTTTCGGTAGAACCATTTAATTAAATTATTAAATTTTATTAGTAAACTTTGAATGATCAATTACAGTTAATTTCTAGCTCAAATACAAATTTAAGCAAAAAAAAAAAACAATAAATAAAATCGTTACGTTCAAACATTTCACCGTAATCATGTAACGTAACTTAAAGCAACCTTTAACCAACTAAAACTATCCTTGTTATCTAACTACAAGCAAAACATCTATATATCATGTTGCCAAAATTTTTAAATGATGAATGAATTAACTCTAATCTAATTATAAATTAAAGCATGCTAAAAATATACTAATTTTCAATTTATCACAAATAAAAAAATTAACAAAAGATATTAAATAAGATAGAGGTCATTTTGTGCTATTCATAAGGGTGGATATTCACAACAAGTATAATTCGCATAAGCACAGCAACCACCGACATTAGGGAAGCAACATTGATCATCTGAGGTACATGGAGCTCCATCAGGAAGGCATGTTGGTGTAGAAATACAAACAGTTGTAGTAGGTGTACAGGTTACTGTCGTTTTTTGTTCACATTCTTTACAATTATTAGATACTTGTTGGCGGTCAGGACAAGCACTCAAAGCAGGTATTTCAGTTGAACAGGGTATTGTGATTGTCACTGTTGTATCGCTAATATCAGTGATAGTACATGTTTTAGAAGATTTTGGATGATATTTATGTCTAGCATCAATATTTAATGCTAACAAATGAATGAGAAAAAAAATAAAAAGTGACTTAAAAATTTGTCTATTCATTGTCAATTATTTATTCAAGCATCCTACTTGATGGAAATAGGTTTAATTTATAGAAAAATTCTTATTATGCACGATTTATTAATTTAATGAAATGGTAACATTAAAACTTTATTAAAAATTCTCTCTCTTTAATGAAGTATAACACAAATACATAAAGCTAGTTTTGATAACCAATGCAATAACATTCGGCCTCATTTCAAGCTCAGTTACACATTCATGTTTTTTTTTTGCTTATTTTTTTTATTATTTATTTTTTTTTAACTTATTATTTATTTTTTTTTAAGAGTGAGGCCTGGCCTCGAATAACTATGCATTACATCATTAATTTACCAAATATGGGGGACGTCTAAAGCGGAGGCACTCATATTTCTTAATAATGTTATCGATTAACTTTAGGGTTAAGGCCATCCTATATTAGGGTCAGGATAGGTTTTAGGTAGTTAAATATAAGCAAAATTGCCTTTCCGACATTTTTGATTAACCTACCAGAGGTAGGTTTAGACGGCCGTTTTTTGTATTTTTCGGGTATCAATATTAAACAAGCAATGCATCTCAAAATAATGCCCGAGGCATTATTTCACAACGATACAGGATCAATGTACGAAGAGAATTCAAAACGCAATATGCATTAATTCCTGATATACGTGTAATCTGAAGGTTTAAATTAGCTTCATAATTAAGATAACCAAGATAACAGGAATCTCTCTATAAAAACATAGATCATTTACAAACCTTTCCTGAGAACATTGCAGTAAAATTTTGTGTAGCTGTTTTAGTCCAACTCTTCATAATTTATCTTCTACAGCATGCAGTTTATTTTTCGGCAATATCAATAATTAAACATAATGTTCTCAATAAGAGTGATAATTAATGAAAGTAGACAGTGAAATATTACTCTATATTTGATGAATTTGACATTGATTCGATGCGATCTCTATAAGCAGTGGCCAGCCATAATATGTATTGACCTACATTTATTAAGATTTTTATTCCGATGGAAAAGTCAAAAAGCCACCCAACTCTAATTTCAAACAATAGATAACTGTCAGACAAAAATATCTATGAATAAATTAAATAAATCATAATATATACAGTATATGCAAGTATCAAAATTTGGGATCCGTTTTTTTTAGAGAACGATTTAATAATTTTTTAAGTCATTCTAACACAGTGAGTAATAGATAAAATTATTGTCGGTGAAAAATTGTCGATGAAGTAACTGTCGGCGAAATAATTGTCGATGAAATAATTGTCGGTGAAATGTTCTATAGTTAAAGTGTACTGTCGACGAAATTATTGTTGATGAAATAATTGTCTGTGAATAACTGTCGAGAAAATTATTGTCAGAAAAATAAGGGTCGGTGAAATGATATGTTGGTAAAGTGAACTGTCGACGAAATGATTGTCTAATAACGACCAATCGAATTTCAGGATCAGGTGTAACATGATAGTCAAAACAAACGTGTTTTGTTTTCTAAGTAAAAAGTTATGTGCAAAATTAAAGTTACGTTTACAAGTAAAATTTTACAAAGAACATTTTTAATTAGACCGCAGAAGGCGGTTCCCTAATTAAAATTTAGAGCTATTCTTGTTTTTTTTTGCTTCGTCTCGATTTTCACGTTACACCTGATCCCGAAATTCGATTGGTCGAACAGGAGGAAACGTACCCGATCCAAAGTGAATCCCACACATGGTATGATAAATTAAAACTAATATAAATAATTTCAGTTTTAATTTATCGCAATTGATCACACCATGTGTGGGATTCACTTTGGATCGGGTACGTTTCCTCCTGTTGATTGGTCGTTATTACAAGGGGCGGAAAAAATTTTGTGGGACAGCTTGGGGCTTTACGTTACGTCGGGGAAATGATAGTCGGTAAAATGATACAAACCCGTGTAAATGCAACCGTGAGGGTGTAAACACAGCTGTTTGAACCTGTTGCCATGACCCACTTGCATAATCACAAGAAATAAACATCCCCGTGGGGGTGTAAGCTCCCAGTGGTGGTATAGACGCACCCATAGTCAGGATTGGCAATGTACTATGATATGTACTGAAAAAAATATTAATGGACATTGTCCATTGGGTCAATGGACATAGTCCATTTGTAGCTACTAAGCCACATTTTTGGTCCATTGGCCAACTCTGCCCGTAGTCGTGTAAACGCACCCAAAATCTAAAATGTATTTAAAGACCAACTGTACCAAGCAATAAAGCATACCTTCTTTCCCTCGCATTTTCATATGAGACTCCGTACTTTCTATATATAATATTATGTGCTATGTAATGCATTGTCTCGTATATGTTTAGAATTTTCTTGTATCATAAATTTCTGCCCTCTTATATATTATATAGCATTCACAATATGCTTACGGCGTGTATGATCATTATCATGCTCCAATTATTTATTGGTTTAAGAGATCTTGATATTTGTTTAACATATCAAATAAATGATATTTTCTCTCTGCTCAATAATTGCTCTCGACTTATCTAATTTTCAATGCTCACAGCATTAGTGCGACGCTTTATCTTGTTAATTAAGGATGATGATCTTAAGGGTGATAATACTGTAATAGACGATGATCAAGAGATTTGGGTGATATCTTTAAGTTCATGTGATGAGATAATGGAGTCAGAGAATTAATCGTAAGAGTCGTTCTTTATTATAATTCTCGCAAGTCACTGTTATGAATGACAATATTTGATTCCACGAATGGTTCAGAATCCGAGTCTAAATAAGCCAAATCGAAGTTACAAGTCAATTCAGTCCGTCGAATTGAGTCTCGAATTGGTTTATTAAAGTTACAAGTCGAATTCAAAGACAATTCACAAGGGAATATTCAGAAAAGTATTTATTTAATCGGAAATAGAATGAGAAATTTATTTATTTAATGATGGAGGGAAAAGTTATCGAAAGTTATGGAAAGAAGTTATCCAAGTTCAAAAAGTTCCAAAGTTCCAAAGTTTTATTTTATTGCTTGGTACAGTTGGTCTTTAAATACATTTTAGTTTTGGCTACGTTTACACTCCAACGGCTAAGTTTACTTTCGCTACGTTCACTTAGCCATGGCTTCATTCCCTAGTCATTTCCTTGTGAATATGCAAGTAGCCTATTGTAACAGGTTCAAACGGCTACGCTTACACCGCTACGGCTATGTTTACTTACCCACTGTCGCGTTTACACACCTTGAGTAACATTCATATGATTAAGGCTTCAAAATTTTAGGTAGCTGTCCCACAAAAGTTTTTCCACCCTTTGTAATAACGACCAATCGAATTTCAGGATCAGGTGTATTTCTAAGTAAAAAGTTGCGTGCAAAATTAAGTTAAGAAAACCTCGTTATAGTTAGGGTTAGGACTAGGATAATGTGACGTCAACAAGTAAAATTTTACAAGGATCATTTTACATTAGACCACAGAAGGCGGTTTCCTAATTAAAATTTAGAGCTATTCTTGTTTTTTGCTTCGTCTCGATTCTCACGTTACACCTGATCCTGAAATTCGATTGGTCGTTATTACAAGGGATGGAAAAATTTTGTGGGACGGGACAGCTAGGGGTTTTGCCACTAAGCCAATCCATCATTACCTTTTTAGTATAAGTTATGAAATAATCAAAAGAAATTAATAAATCTACTAAAATTGGACATTGTTACCAGAATGGATGGGCTAACACAAATAAACTATGTACATGCGGCAAATTTACCGACTAAAATATGAATTTAAAACAAAAATAAAGAAACTAGAAATTAATTGTTATACTGGCATAACCACCAAATTCATCAATGAAGCATTAATTAAAATAAGATCGTTATAACGATTAGCTGAATAAAAGATAAAATTAAAAATGACATAAAGTATGGGGCTTTGTAGTTGAAAGAGTTGAAACAATATGATTTTGAGATAATCAAGCTTATCATGTTCTAAAAATTTGTGTTTATTGGTTAATAATTTCGCGTCGAAATTTATCCAAATTCTGTTGATTTTCTC